TTGTATGTTGTGGTTGTCCGGGGCGATGCTGTTGGCTTATTTGTCAATCAGCATTACTGTGACAACAAGCGTTACCTTGGCAGCGGCAACTGTTGACAACCTGCAGGATGTAACGTTGTGTGTTTTTGTGTGTGTGTGTGTGTGTGTGTGTGTGTGTGTGTGTGTGTTACAGACTCATCCTCCCCTCTAATAGATTCTCTCTTTATCTCTTCCCTCTCAGGCTTTCTCCATTATTCTCTCTCTCTGTCTATGTCTGCCTCGTTCGCCCTCTGTTTATTATTCACATTTCTCCCTCCCTCCATTCTTCACCTCCTCCCCCCTCCTCCCCCCTCCTCCCTCCACACCTGGTTTCAGTTTCTTTCTCCTCTTCACTCTCTCTCTCCTCTCTGCCTCTGTCGTCCACCTCTTTCTCTTTTCAATCCCTTTTTAATATTCCTCCTCTACTTTTCCCTTTTTCTTCTCCTTCAAGTCTCTCTCCTCTTTACCTTTTATCCCTCCTTACTCCTCTTTCTCACCTTTCTCCTGCTCTTCATCTTCTCCCCTTTTCTCCTCTCAACCTGATATTTTTCTTGCTTCCTCCTCCCGCTTCCTTCTTTCCTTTTCACCCTCGCTCTGTCTCCAGTTTTCTTTCTGCTCATCCTCCTCTCCCTCCTTTTTCCTCCTCCTCTTTTCCACTCTTTCTCACCGTACCTCATCTTCTTTCTTCACTCTGTCTTCAGCCTTTTCCTCCTTCTACTCCTCTTCCTCTTCCTCTTCCTGTCCTATCAGTATCTTATTGTCGACCTCTTCCCGCTCTCTGTCTCTCTCTCTGTGCCTCCTTTCTTCCTCATGTCATTCTCATTCTGATCACTTGTTTTCCTCCTCCTCCTCTTCCTCCCAGCTCTCACTGTTTCTCCTCCATCGTCATCTCTCCAACACTTCGTTTCAGTTTCTTTCTTCATCTTACCGCCTTTATTCCTCTCCTCTTCATTCTTCCCTTTTCTTTTTTCACCCTACTCCTCTTCAGCTTGTCCTCCTCTTTTTATCCTCTGTCTTTACCTACAACTCTTTCTCCTCTAACTTTCATCCCTTTCTCATTTTCTTCCTCCTTTTTCCTCCCCTTTCTCCTCCTTTTTCCTTTCATCATCCTCTTCTTCTTTTCCTCCTTCTCTATCTTTCTCCCTTCTCTTTTTCGTACTTCATTTAATTTCCTTCCACTGTTGTTTCCTCTCTTCTTTAGCCGCTTCCTCATTTCCTCCTCCTCTCCTCCTCTCCTCCTCTCCTCATCCCTCTCTTTCATCTCTCCCTCCACAAACACCCTCAGTAAAATGCACAAGTGCGATAACCAAAGTTTCCAGAGGGATTATTTCCTGGAGTTTTAACTTCTCCCTGTCAGGTGACTGACAGCGGGACGTAACAAAGCTCTGATATGAAAACATTTAGCTCGGCTTAGAGAAATCAGGAGGAAACAGAAAGTTTCCTTGTGTATATTGTGGAATTTCTCTCTCTGTGGAAACCGAACAAGAAAAACTTGAAGCAGTAAAAACATCTTCCTGTAAAAAAAAAAGAAAACTTCTGCCAGCGAACCTGTCAGCTCCGACGTCAGAGGATTATCCTTTAACCCCCTGAACTCTGATTCCACCTTAAATTTCTCCTTTGATAGGTTCGCAAGGTTCAAAGACTAAAACAAAATCCAGCTTTACACGACAGCATCACATACTCCGGGTGGATTTACTCCAAACCGCGAGTCAGGTGTGTTGAATCTTCAGCTTTTGAAACCCGAGCCGGAGAGCAGGCGAGCGCGAGGCCGAACGTGAATAAGAAGACGATGGAAGTGAATTATGGGTCACTTCATGTATAATTTAATGCAACAGCAATTCTGCCTAACTAACCTCGCTTAACGACATCAGTGGGATCCTGGGCCAAATGTAGAGCAAATTGAGGTTAGGCGGTAATGTGATATACGGTGTGAAACCATACAGATTCGTCCGCTGGTGGAAATGAAACCTCTTACTGTCAGGCAGTCGTCTCTTTCACGTCTCTGCTTGTGTTACACGATTGTGGACAATGTTACAAATCAGTGAACGGAGCTGATTTATGCCTTTTTATGAAAGAATTACCTCAATTCTTCAGGTCTCGTTCACAATGAAGGTAAATCTGTTTCTGTTATGTTGGGTCATTTACTGCATGAAGTAGTATGAAAACTGCTTAAAGTGAGCGGTTGCCAGAAAGGCAGCTGTGGATGTGAGCAAGTCTTTCTAAGGACCCTGAATGGGTATTGAAGTTTGTTCATGAACGATTTTTCACTTCCCCTAATACAAAATGTTCCTATTTCTTTATATTTTCATTTAAAAACTCAAATACAACAAGTGGGTACTTACGCTGCTTGTCAAAAACAGCTTTTTAGTGAATTTTCAGCAGCTGAAGTCCAGTGATAACCTTGAATCATACAAAAGTATGTGGTAAACTTCCCAAGGTTAAAAATAAAAATAAAATAAAAGTGTATGTCACCAAAAACTGAAAAATCATGTCCTTGAAAGTTAATGCAACAGTCCAACACTCACTAAAGACAATCCTGTTTGTGACATTCATGGACAGGATCTCAAGGCGCAGATGAGGGTAGGAGAGTAGGTTTTGGGAACTTTAAGAATCACATCTCTGCTTTTTGGTGGACGATGTGGTTTTTTTGTTCGCTTCATCAGAACTTGACCTCCAGTGCGCACTTGGGCGGTTTGGAGCCATTGTTCTCGGTGGATAGCTCCCTCCCTTCAAGTATCTCAGGGCATCTTTGGTCATGAGCTCTGGATCTTGGCTGAAACAATGAGATTGTGGATACAAGCGGCTGAATTGGGTTTCCTCCGTAGGGAGGCCGGGCTCAGCCTTAGGGTGACACGCTCAGAGTTGCTGCTCCTTCATGTTGAAAAGAGCCGATAGAGGTGGTTGCAGTGAGGCACGTTCAACTGGGAGAAGACCCCGGGGTAGACCCCCCCCACCCGAACTCGCTGGGGATCGCCTCAGGGACCCCCCAGGGGGAGCTGGAAAACGTTGCTGGAGAGAAGGATGTCTGGACTGCCCCAGACAAAACCCTCTGTCTGTACAAAAGGCAGTGTTGAAACAAACTGTGTTACTGCGCCCTCTGATGCATCATTAGAACAATACTATACCGCAGGAAGAAGAAATACTGTATATTGCTGTCAGGATGGTGAGAAAAAGACAAGTAGCACAGGGAGAAAGACTGGTTGGTCAGAGGTTCATCCGTCAGCGAGATAATGAGCCGAAACATTAGACGAAGAAAACCGGGCGGAGGCTTCACATGATGGAAGACCAGCACAGTCTCCAGACTTAAACCCGGACGGAACTAGACAGAAGGTTAAAGTACCAATCCTTAGTACCGAACTGCATAATCCTTTCTTGGAAATATCCTAGTAGACAATTGCACAAGTCTCTTTATACTTTTTTTAGTTTTTATTGTACAGCTCTTTGTAACTCTTGTCTCGAAAGCCGTATATAAATGAATAACCTCTCCTCCAAATGGAAAAACAGTTGTGTGTCACCGTCTCTCGAAACTGTGTTGCTGTGTTGTTTTTAACAGAGCATCAAAACAAAAGAGAAAAAACTTGAAACTTCACTCCTGAAAACAGAAACCCGATCCGAAAGGAATCCAAGAACAGTCAGGTCCAATCTGCAAGTTATTTAGATCAAAGCGAAGCTGACGAAAACGGAGAGCGAGCGCGAACACTTCACAGTTCTCACTCTCCCTTCAGTCTTTCAGTCGGCTTTGATCCACGCAGGTATTAGACAAATTGACACGAATTGACACACCCAAGACCTGGAAGGGAGGAGAGGTTAGAGAAGGAGGAAGAAGAAGGCAGAGGATGGTAGAAATAGAGGAGGAAAGAAGAATTGGAGCATGAGATAAAAGGAAAAAAAGAAAAAGGAGAGACAAACATGGGAAGAGGGAGGGGATGTGTGAAGAAGGAGGATGACAAGACCCTGGAAAAGGGACCCAGTCTCGACCTAATTGGCTGCGCCTTGGTTACTTTGAACTGAATGGACCCATGAGGATCTCTAATTTACTGTGAAACTATAACCTTTAAAAGAGGAAATAGCACAGTCTTCTTACAAATGAAAAGTGAACCCGTGAGCAATAAAACAGCAGCAGCCTTTGCTCAGTTCACTACACTCAGGGGTGTGGTGTGACCAGTTGTTTATGATGACTGATATCTACAAAACTTTAGATGGATACTGTTGTATAACTGACGACACTGAGTCAGTTCAGTGGTTTTAACTTTCTGGAAGATACACCTGAACGACATTTTATCATTTACCATCATCCTGTAGTTGCTGTTTTCATTTCATTTTGTGGTTTGTGGTTATTAAAATGAATTGAACTGATTTAGATTTTTTTAAATTGGACATTTTGTAAGATGAAGAAGATCCGTATTGACCACTTCCAAAAAAAAAAAAGCCCACATGAAGTCTGTAGTTTCGTTTAGTTCTGTGTTAGCTGCCATCAAATTTTAACAAAGCTGTGTCCGAATTATTCACAATGTAAAACCCTTAGTGTTGTCTGAATGACTGTTTAGTTGACTCAGATGACAATGACACAATGCACTTAATGAAAGTTAACTGCCATCGTTGCATTTTACTATTCTTTTTTAGCTCTTGAAACTTGCTGCTAGTATAAGATATCGTTAAGTCTGTGACGTTATGTTTATCAGGCTTGTGTAATGTAATTGTTCTTTCACTAAACAGTGAATCAAGTGTGCAGAAGGTGGAGAGATTATAGTTTTACCCTCAGTTTAAAGAAACTTCCGGGAAATCAGCTGTGGTTTATGTAATGACGCAGATTTTGAGTGGAAACGAAAAGGTCAAAACCGGACGTTGGCTTTGTGATTGTTGTGTTTGTGACATTTGGCAGACATTGGGTTTTGCTGAAGATTAGGACGTCAGTGTTTTCGTCAGTGTTCTCCTTCACTTTGATCTGATAATAAATTTATTCACTTATGTCTCCTCTACAGTTACCTGGCAGTGACTCAGTTCAGTCCCATCCACGCCCGGAAGGCCTTCCCCTGCTTCGACGAGCCCGTCTACAAGGCCACGTTCTCCCTCACCCTCCGCCACGACCCGCAGTACACCTCGCTCTCCAACATGCCCGTCGAGAGCAGCTCGCTGTCGGACGAGGACGGCTGGGTGACCAATCGCTTCGCCCGAACGCCTCGCATGTCCACGTACTACCTGGCCTGGGCCGTCTGCAACTTCACCTACAGAGAGACGCAGACCGACAGCGGCGTGACGGTCAGTCCCTGCACACACCGAACACACGAAATGAAACCCAGAGCGCTGCTGTGGTTCTGGTTTCGGAGGGTTCTTCGATGCAGATTTAGCCTCTTCTGAAGAGTGTGTGCCTCTCAGAATATTTTCTATTTTTGAACAGCACAACTCAGACAAGTGCAGTCAAAACACAGGAAGAAAGAATAAGATGCAATTAACACGTTGATACAAGATAAAACACCTGAAGAAAAAAATGGCTAAACTTAGCAAGCAACAACATCGCAGAGGTATTTTTCTGACTCTTCTGTCATGACCCCAACTTAATTATCCTTTGTGCTTTGGTGCTTTATTTATTTTTTTAAAAGTCTTCTCCTCTGAAGTGATTTTAACGATCTCATTATGTGCCCAGTACCAAACGTTGTTGGCATTCTTCTTTTCTTCTCTTCGTCACTTCTGCTCTTTTGTCTTCTGGTTTGTCTCGAGGCTGCGAGGAAAGACTCCGTGATGAAATACAGAAGCGTGTCACCTCGACATAATGACACACTGAAGCCCCGATCACCTCTAAACTGTATTTAATATCATTAAATCCTTATCTCTGGGGTTAAAACACTAAATATGAGCAGCAGGAGTTGCTATCTTCAGATAATAATCGGCATAATGAAGTTTTGATTAGGGAATAACGGCTTCATTTCCCCAGATAACCACAGAAAAGAGGTCAGTACAGTGAGTAACAGGCTTAAAGAGGAAATCAGTGGATCGCATAGTTTTCCCTCAAGGAATTGGTTAGAAGAGTTGCTAAGTTCTCCTCCCCTGATTTATATCCAATACACTACCACCAAGAAGTGGGGAAAAAAAGGAGCTAGAAGAACTTCCAGCTTCTGCTGCTTCAAGTGGAAGAAATAGAAATGCAAACCTTAAGTGGGCGGCGCTCAGTTGATGACAGACAAACAGTCCTGAGGAAGGAGATTCATCATTGCGGTCAGTTTGCCGGTGAGCTGTTTAATGTCCTGTGCGACTGCAGAGAAGCTTTGACGAGTTCTGACTGATGTTGTCTGGATTATCTCAGTTTGGGTTTCGACTCTTCAGATTTATAACAAAAATAAAATAACCCGGGGGCAACTAGTTTGAAAGATTCACTACACTTAGGGTTTAACAAAAAAGATGCCATCCAGTTGCATCATGGGAAGCGTAGGTTTTCTACTTAAATATGCCTTAGGTGAGGGAGTTACTTAAGGGTGTCACACATAAATCTCTTAAAAGGTTTCCTTAGTTAAGGAAAAAAGTTTTTTTGCAGCAGTAAAATTCTACTGTTTCCATGGAGACCGTTGATTTGCTGCGATCAGCACCTTGTGATACCGGTTATCACTTCTGGGAAGCCAGTCACAATCATGAAGTGCGTCGCTATCTCGGCCTCCTGATCGCCATGAACTCAGTCGTGTTGCTGTGAAGACAGAGTCAGACACACCTTTAGTTTTTTTCCCCTTTCTTTGGTCGCTAAGGTCTTTTGTGCAGCGTTTTAACTGACTTTAAGTTACTCCTTAAGTATAAGACTAAGATAAGGAGAAAACCTTTACATCCTTGAGTGAACATTTCAAGGAAACCGTAACTCAGACTTTAAGGACAATCTTAACTTAAGGTGTTTTGTGCAACCAGCCCCGAGTAAAAGTCAGTCGAACTTGTCGTCTGTTGCCTCTGCTGATCCGTCTGTCACTTCCTGGTACAAGCACAATACGAAATCACAAGAGTACGTCTTTAAAGAGCTTAGTAAGATCATCATCTGCTGCCATGAGATAATGAGGTGATGAAGTCATGTAAGTCTGGAGAAGAACACAGTTCGTCATCTTGATAAAATGACAAGTTCAGGTTTTTATCACTGACGAAACCAACGCTTGATATCTCCAGATGCATCTTAACTAAACGGTTATATCAGGATAACTCGCTCAAAATACGACACACAAGCACAATTTCTCATCTAACTAATGGGTTATTGAACATCTCTAAAGTCTAAATCTACAGATAAGAGTTTATTATCTTTATCATGATGTAATGAAGTCAGATAGAAGCGTTTGTTATCTCAGGATAACATGGTAATTTAGATACGAACTCAAGATAACGGTCTGGTTTTTTGAGATAAGAGATAATTAACTTTCTTTGTACAGAGGTCGACGTGGTTTTTATTACTTCCCTTCCCTCCAGCTCAGTTTCTCACTTTCTTTTTTGGAGATACTTGCACTGTACCTTTTGCAAGTACAGTTCCCATAATGCCTTGGGGGATGTAAACATGAAATGTGTCGGCATGGATTGAGGGAGTTTTTTTTTTTTTTAGCTCATGTTTGTTTCATGTTGTGAAATTGGCAACATTAAAAGTTGCTGAATTATCTAACAGCAACTCCTGTTGGAAACATATTCATGGATGCACAGATGTTTAACACTGAATTACTCAGATGCTGAAGTAAACCGAAAAACGTGATGATGGCAAGTTCTGGAGCCATGAGGAGCCGTTATTTTTGCTATGATATTTAAGCAGATTTATGGATGTTTATGCATAATGGATGTAAGGGATAATGATATGCTCTGAAAGTGTAAGTCACACTGAATCTAAAAACCCGTGTTATCACATGTGTGTGCTCAGATCTGACTGAGTTATAACTGTAAAATAGGAGTGTGATTTTTGACTAATTGCAGCAGTTGAGTGCCAAGGGTTTTAGGGTGCTTTAATTGTCTCCATGAGTTTGTGTGAAAAACGCCGCTGCTGCTGCTGATAAATGATGAAACCTGAAACTATAATAACTAACTTTCAGTGGTTGGCTTGTGCACAATCCTGGGTAGGTGTGCCTTTTTTGGATTGATTGATTTAGGCTAATAATCTGGGGCCAGTTCCACAAAACACCTTAAGTTTTCTACTTAAGTAAGGTTTAATTTGTCCTTAGCTGAGGGAGTTATTCAGGGGTGATGCACAGAATCTCTTGAATTTGTTCACTAAGGTCTTTTGTGCAACAGTTTCACTGACTTTAAGTGATTCTTTTAGTATAAGACTAAGATAAGGAAAAAAATTTTAAGGATGAAACTTAAGGGTGTTTTGTGAAACTGTTTTTATTTTAAGGAAACCTCAACTCAGAGTTTAAGGAAAATGTTTAGGGTGTTTTGTTCAACCAGCCCCATTGTGACGGTTGCACAAACCACCTTAAATTTTCTACTTAAGTATTGGCATTTAAGGTTTAATTTCTCCTTGGCTGAAGGAGTTACTTAAGGGTGTTCTGCAGAATCTCTTAAAAGGTCTCTTAGTTAATGAAGAACTAAGGTAAGGAGAAAACCTTAAATACTTAACGGAACATTTTAAGGAAACTTTAAGGATGAAACTTAAGGTGTTTTTGCAACTGGTCCCGGTTATAAGCACTTGGGCCAGGTTTGGGTCAGTGTTGGCCCAAGAACCGGGCCGATGAACTCAGGCTGATTGTTTTTGCATCAGTCAAACCAGCAGGCGAGCCATGCGGTTCTATCCATTGTATTTCTATCCTTCAGTGTTTATCGTGTCTGTCTCGTCTGTTCTGTACGATTCTGCTTTGAAAGTCAAACCGTCCACTGCTGGATTCGACTGATTCCCCGTCATCCTTTAACAACAATAACATTTAAAGCAGGAATATGCACACGCACGCATCAGTGTTCTTATACAAGGACAAATACATGCACGACCTTGTTTCTTCTTCTCTTCCTCCTCCTCCTTCTTCTTCTTCCTCTTCTTCTCCTCCTCCGATCATCTCTCTATCAGTGTAATTACAGCTCATCCATCTCGTCTGCCAGAAACTCAAGGACAGCAATACAACACACACACACACACACACGTGCGCACACACACACACACACACACACACACACACACGCACACACACATATTCTGCCCGTGTCTCCTTATTACTGAAAGATAATTTTAGTGAAATGCTGTTTTAATGACAAATCATATGTGGGTCATTTATAACCATCACCAGCCTCTAACACTGTGTATCAGTGTGTGTGTGTGTGTGTGTGTGTGTATGTGTGTGTGTGTGTGTGTGTGAGAGAGTGTGTGTAGCGCAGTATTAGGGTGGAATCAGTCAGGCTTGTGAGTTTTAGTCCTTGTTATGAATAAATTAATCTCTTATTTTTATCCTTCCTGTTTTTTACTCAACAACAACAGAAGCTACCAGCTCCTTCATTTTACCTTCGTCTCAGAGTTAAATAAAAGAAAACAAAGGTGACACATGATGAGCCAGGTCCTGCTTCAGGTGGTTTAGACTCAACAGGTGTGAGCAAACATTTTCTGAATCCAGCATCCATGTTCTCTGTTGGGGTCTGCTTTGTTGGGAGACGATTAAATGCTCATTAACCAAAACTAAGCGCTGGATCACAGAAACGTGGGTCTCATAATTATTAGCAACATTAGCATCAAATAAGCTACAATAACAAAAGTATAAAAGTATCTTCCAACCTCACTTCAGTTATATGTTTTAGTCATAGTTATTTATACACTATATTCAGAGGTGTTTCTATTATTCTCCCCCAATGATTAGGACAAAATATTTAGGAACACGTCTCAATATATTGTTGAGCAACTCTTTTAATTATGACCTCAATAATAAACATATCGTTGAATTTACACAAGCTAATAGAGTTCACTGAGTGTATGTTAACCCTGTGATAGAACCACAGACTGTAAATAAAGATGGACGTCGCCTCTGTGGCGTTACCCACAGGTTTCTGAAGCTCAGAGTGAGCTGCTCCACCATCACCATCTTGGCAGTGTCTGACTCCGCCCCCTAACTAAACAGGTGTCATGAAGGAGGAAATTAGCTCTAGAGACCAAAACAGTTTTTGTACCAGGCTGTAAACATGTTTATTTCTGCTGTAAAGTTGGACATTTTAACATGGGAGTCTATGGGGACTGACTCACTGTTGGAGCCAGACTCTAGTGGCCATTAGAGGAACTGCAGATTTTGCTTCTTCAGTGTCAGCTTAATTTTTCTGCCTGGTAGGTTGCTGCTTGCATA